GTGTGATGAGTGGAGCTTGACCATTTTAAACCACAAGTGTGCCTTCTGTGAATTTTTCACCTGCACACCATGAATAGAGATGTGCATCGTTTTTTTTTACAGGTTGTGTGCATAGCTCCATGATTTAATGGTGAAGGTGTATGACAGTGGTGTGTGACAGCAGCTCCATATACCACCCATTTAGGTCCATCAGCTTTCAACCTAGTGGCAGGTTTGGTTAATAGATTGTCTTGGTATTTTCAAGTCTGCTCAGCTTGACAGGATAGAACTGTGCTTTTATTTATCTTCTTACTCCTGAGGCCATTCAGTAGAAGATTTTTTAAAGAGAAGTAGCTGAGTCTTGGCTGGTGGGGCCCAGTGGATTGAGTGCTGTCCTGTGAACCAAAGGGTCACTGGTTCGATTCCCAGTCCGGGCACATGCCTGAGTTGTGGGCCATGTCCCCAATTGGGGGCTCACAAGAGGCAAGTACATGTTGATGTTTCGCTCCCTCTTTTCCTCCCTTCCCCCTCTCTAAAAATCAATAAGTAAAATCTTAAAAATAAAAAAATCAAGAGAAGTAGCCAAAAAGGCAAAAATACTAAAAATGAAAAGATTGGTATGACACATTATTTGTTAACATAGTGTATAATTTGAAATGCCTGCTTTGAATCAAAAAATGTTCTAGAAGCTTGATATTAAAATGAAAACATGGGGTGCCTCAGAACTCGAGGGTCTTATGACTTTAAGAACTGGGTATTTGGAAAAACACCCATGTCACTGAGGGTGCTGTCCTGGCCGGACTTACCCCCACAGTGTAAGGGGATCGTGTTTCGCCAGTGCTGACGCTTTGAGGGTGACGAGGAAGTTGTTGGGAGGCAGGAGAAGGGCATGCACAAACTGTTTTAAGGGTTGCGGGGGACTTACAGGAGATCCAAAACCTTACGGGGTTTTACGCAATGCTGAGGAGTTTCTACAGGTGACAGCACCATTTTGACCAAGTGGCTAAGTTTGGAGGGATTCACACTCCCTTGGCTGGCTGGGTGTGGGGTGGTTGGTAGGGGCGGGGGAAGGAGCAAACTAGAAGCCAAGCCCCTGGCAGGAAGGATGTCTAAGGCCTGGAGGATGGAGAATGTGGCCTGGACCGGGGCAGTGGCTGTGGAGACAAAGAGCTGAACATGAACGAGCTAGTTTAGAGGCAGTATGTTAAAGAATATTGTAATCGTTGACAGCTACTAGTAGTGACATCTCCTTGTGGACTCGGTACCTGCTGGGTGACCTTTTTCACAGAAAGAGCAGCGATCCTGCCTGCTGTTCTGGGCCTGTGTCTATTCGAGAAGCTGAACATGAGAGATTTTAATGCAAACTGTAAGTCTCTGTGTGTCTCCAGCCAAGGGGATTAGCCCTCGGCTAATAGTGTGGCGTTAGGCCTGGGTTCTCAGGCTTCAGCAGCCAGGGGACCAGAGGTCCTGGCCATGGGGCTTACAGTTCAGGTGAGCCGTTCTGCCAGGTGCTCAAGGCAGAGGCAGTGGGGTGTCAGGATTAAGAAATTGGGCATGGTGTCAGCCAGGCCTGGGTTTGAATGCCAGGTCTACAGTCTGCTTCTACTCTCATGTCTGAACTAAGTTTCACGGCCCATAAAACAGAGATTAGACTACCGCCTCCCTGGGTTGTTGTTTACACACACAAGATACTGGCTTAAATTCACGCACAAGTGGTGCAACTAAGAGTCCATCATGGATCACGCTGACTGCAGAGGCCACACGCTCCTGCGCCCTCCTTTCTCTTTTATATTTAATATGTGCTTTATTTTCATGACTATTATTATTTTTAGAAATGCTACGATTTCAGTTTCTATTTCCCCCTTTGACCCAAGAGTTATTTCATAGAGAGCCTTTAGGAAACCATGAAGAAAACCTTTCTGTGCTTTGGTTTGTTTGTTTTTTTTAAATGGATTTTCTAATTTTATTCCACCATCATCAGAGGATGTTGTTTGTATTATTTCTATCTTATGGAACTTTCGGCATTTGGGGGGACCTAACCTATGGTTAATTTTGCGAATTGAAAAGAAAGTGTGTTGTTCTTCATTACCAGGGTACAGAGTTGGTGATGTATCCAGATCTCCCCTCTTCATTCTGTTGTTTGGACCTTTTATATCTTCCTTTACCTGTTGCCCCCTCGCCCTGGCCGTGGACTGAGAGCGTTGTGTTAGATTAGCTAATGTCAGGGTGTTTCTATGTCTTCTCCCATCCCCTGCGGGTTCTTCTAAAGCCCCTGCTGGGGCATTGGGTGTGCATCCTCGTGAATGCCGGCCTTTAGTGTAGGTCAGTCCTTCTCTGTCTGGGTTTGGGCTTTTCGATCTGCACTTCACCCTGTCACACACCGAGACCTCAACTGATGCTCTCTGTTGCTGCTGCTTCTTGGCATTCGCCTTGGATGCTTCCATGTGTCTCGTTTTCAGCACAGAGTCCACATCATTTTCAGCACAGAGTCCACATTTCTGACCCGCTGCATTACACTCTGCCACGCCTGTAACTGGAGCTCCATAAAATTTTTGTTTTCTTTGTCCTTTCTTCTCCTCTTCAGCTGGGGTCAAGATTCATCCAAGTCCCTAATATTTATTTTTCCACTTCATTCGGTATCACTGGCAAAACTGTAAGATAGTTAAACTTTGCATCCTGCTGCTATGATAGATGTCTACATTGGAAAAGGTTAGTTTTATTATTAGAAGTGTCGGGTCTGCCTGGACCCTCTGGCTCAGCGGGGCTGTCATTCCAGACCTGCCCTGATGGCTCTCACACCCCAGCAGGACAGGCTCTCCCTTGCCACGTGGAAGGCCTACACACACTCATCACAGATGAACCTGACGAGCCCTGATCTCCAAGTTTAAAACCATGTTCCCTCCACTGGTCTGCCCAGAAAACTGTCAATATTTGAACTAAGATGGCTCCCACAATATGCTCTAAAATGTAATTCAATACCTTGGGAGAAATGTTACAAGATGCCAGTCCAGAGCTGGAAGGAATCCTAGAAGTCACTTACTTGCACTTTCTCCCCAGTGCATTAATCACTTCTACTGTACACCAAGTTTCCCAGTCTCCGCATTTTTCTGGGAGTGGTAAACAGAGGCATGGGTCTGAAGCCCAGCTATACTATAGATCAGCTACATGATGTCTGGAGACTTACAGAAGCACCGAGCCTCAGTTTTTAATCGATAAAATGGGGATAATGACAGCAAGTCAGAGGGCTGTTAAGAGGACTAAGCAAGATTACAAATTCAAGGACTAGGTAGGAAATGTGCAAGACCAGGCAGATAGCCTGAGTGTAAGGCAACTGGAGTGAAGAAAGGAGTTCATCTCCTTGTCAAAGAGGAAGACTTTACCTGATGCCTATAGATTAGAGCCCTCCTTGCACCAAGGTGGGCTGAATATCACCAGACCTTCCAATTTTTCTAGAAAAGCAGAAACCTGGCTTCTCGATGTAACATTCCCAACTATTCAATATGACTACTAGATCAAATTTCCTTAAAACACTGGGTAGACCGTCAGAAAAACATAGGTGTGGGCTGAGTACACCTGTAGGCTGACACTTTTCAGTCTCAGATCCGAAGTACTTAGCATAATGCCCAGCACAAGACAGACACTTGATAAATTATAAATTCGTCAGATCCGAAACCTTAGACCTCAGACTCTTGGGGGAAGGACAGGTCTGATAGGTTGTTAAGATCCCAGGGAAGAGGAGCCTCAGAGTAACCAGGACATCAACTGTACGCCCAGGAAAGCGGCAGAAATTGAGGGGACGCAAAGCAGAGAACAGATGGGCGTGGATTATCTAAGGATTCTGCCTCCTTCCAGTCACCCGCTCAGATGCATCTTTTGCTGATGGCTCTCTTACAACTGCAGACCTCTGATCTGTGGGTAGATGTAACTGACAGAGGAGGGGTTGGGGGGCCGCAGGGCGGATCCTGCAGCTCGCTGGAGTCAGAAAGGCTAGCAACTCCCTTAGACAGAGCTTATTAGGGAGGAAACAAAAAGAGCATTGAGCAGTGAGCCAAGGAGGCATTTTTCACCCTGCCCCCATTCCCTCTGGCTTTTCCCCATGCACTCTGCACCTAGTCAAACAGCTCCCACTGGGGTGGGGGGCCGCTGTCCTGCACGTGTTAGAAATAAGGGCCAGTGGTTGGTCCTATTTTTAGCATTTGAATGTGGATGCAAAGGTCACCAGGATTCCCCACTTGCTGGCTCATTTCCCCTCTCTCTTCTCTATCTTGTCTCTTATTTTCCTCCCAGATGTATGTTTTCTGTCCCGATGAGGTAAATATTGGCTTGTCTTGGCTGCACTCCTTATAATTTCCATGGACTGGGTGACCGATCTGTCCCGTGGCCTGAGAAGTCACGTACAGACTTTGGGAAGAGCACCCACGTTTGGGCCAGAGCCACTTCTTTCTCTCAAGAGCTTGAACAGAGGTTCACAGTGAAAAAACAGCTTTACTCTTCGTCTGATTCTCCAAATACACAGGGGAGGCCCAGAAAGGCTGATTTTGCGTATTGCTGCCTACCACTGATAATGAATGATATTATAGCTTCCATTCACGGGAGGTTTTCCTGTGCTAAGCTCTTCACGTACATTTTCTCCTCTAATCCTCACAATCGAGGTGTATGTCTCGATTATTTCCATTTTACAGGTGACAAAGGGGAGACCTAGCAGTTTGAGAAACTTGCCCAAAGCCACATCAGCTGACCGTGGCAGAGACCCAGAGAAGACACTGGGGATTCCGACTCCAGTTCTCTTTCCAGAACCAGAACTCAGTGTACATACAGGTTCCCCGTGAGGACAGAAGAGAGGAGGGAGAAGGATGGACCACGAGAGGCAGGGAGCCTGGCTTGAGCACGCACATGCCTCAGGGTGTTCTACGGGGACCCCTGCACGTTCCCAGAACACGGGCACAGCCCCGGCAAGAGCCCCCTTGACAGCTCAGAGGCCGGAGAGCCGCGGAGCCTCCGAGAGCTTGGGTCCCCTTTACCTGCTCTCGGGGTCGGCCAGGGCCACGCTCCGAGTGACGTAGCACATCTTGAGGGGGATGCTCTTCCGATCTCTGTGGAAGGCGAAGGACTGGGACGATGACGACGAGGATGACAGAGCCTCCGAGGAGCCGCCCCCTAACCGAGGGGATTCAGGCGGCGGCGTCTCCCACCCGATCTCGGACACCGGGGAGCCTTTCTTCACGTAGGGTGTGGCTTCTCGCATGTACTTCACTGCAAGCAAAACCAAAAAAAGACAAGAATCGCCTTTAAGTACATCAGGGCCGAATTCCTGGAAAACCTGGTTGCGTTTTTGAAGTTTGCAGTAGACAAGCTCTTAACACTGAACAAGATTAAAAAAATTCCGTTCCTCTCATAATAGTTGCCCTGTTGGTATATTTAAATTATGTACCAACCCAGTTTTTAGAAATTGCTGCTATGATGACCTGAACTTGAGAATTACATGCGCCTTATTCAACTAGGACAGCTTCTATCTTTTCTGACTGTAAGTTGCATTCTGGGAAAGAGGCTCAAAAACACATGGGCAGAGAACAAGAAGCTAACAGGCTGAAAGACATGTAATTAATTATTCAGTACAGACAAAGAGAAACTGGTCGCCACAGGCACTACCCATGTCATCAATGTTCTGTTGAGAAAGCAACAGGGTTTTCTATCCATAGTGCTAAGAACATATATGCAAAGAAATGCACAGGTGTGCACAGAAGAACACATATTTTTAATGGCAAAAATATAGTAAGAGCTGAAAACTAGGGACAACTTAAATGTCCACAAAAGACAGATTAAATAAATTGGAAGATATTTATATAGTCATTTACAAAACAAGATATAGGTGTGTTGATGTAGAAAGATCTGTAAGATCTATTGTTAGATTTTAAAAAGTAGAAAGCAGAACATATACTGTAATCTTTTTGTGTATAAAACCATAACTGTAAATGCTTTTATGTCTACAACTATTTCTGGATAGAAACACAGCAAACTGTTAATGGTAGTAAGCTCTGAGGACTGGAAGCAAAAGTCAGGATGCTGAAAAAAATAGGCCGTTCCTATTCATTTATTGCCCTTTTATACCATTTTCATATTTAGTCATATGCATATATTACTTTATAACCTGCAGAGAAGAAAAAAATAGTTTAAGAGTTAAACAGGCTGACATTTTGCTTTTTGACCTTTTCTTGGTCTTCAGAAGTCACTCAAGACCTATTCCGAGTTTAAGCACGTGGTCCTTAGACACCATCTAAGTGGACAGGACAACAAGATTCTTGGAGCATGTGATACAAACTTCCTGTGTCTCTCACAGTCTGGTTCTCTGCTGCCTGGGGAGGACCTGGCTAAGTCCCTTACAGGTATCTGTTATGACAAATGGCAGTGGATTGGAATGGGTGCAAGCTAGAGGTACTTCTTCTAGATCTTAGGTAATTCAGTTCCACAAACTGGTGTCTTTGCTGTACCAGACACAGAACCAGGTTTCTAAGATGACAGATGACAAACACGCAGCTCCCTTACTTAAGAGTTACAAAATCCTGGGTGACTGTCATTGTTGCTGTTTGATGTCCCTTCAGATCCCTTTTACCAGTGAGGCACCTGTATCCAAACCACTGTGTGTGGGCTGAGAACCACTCATAGCTGCTTTCCGCTCTGGAGAACTCTTCCTGGCCTTCCAGAAGCCTCTCAGCCCCTAGACACAGGCACTGCTTGTAGGGAACCCCACCTGGGACATAGTGATATAAGCCGAGTATATAAACTATGGCACAAAGCAGAATGAGCTAAGGTTTAGACAGGAATAAAGTACCTTGGAAGAACTCATGAGAAAAATGGATCCAGGGGCACTAGCAACAGATTAGGTTCATGGCAATTTAATAAGCAGACCAAACACACCCACAGGCATGCAGTAGGGATCTATTCCGGGAGAACCAATCTTAGATATCAAAACCGTCATGTTAATTCAAGACACAGGTGGTGCCATTTAGTACCAACACATATTTGAAAATAGGATTTCAGAGTCTTAACTGAACATCAGTGCCATTAGGAGAAAACAACTCCGTAACCACGGAGGGTTATGGAGAACTTATTAGCACAGGATGTAGTTATAGAAGAAGAGAGGTTATTCTTGGCCACAGTATTTTAGGAATATTGTTTATTGCTGTGCAGTACATTTAAAGAGAACCACAGACACACCTAAGAACAACTGTAGAAAACTTAGGGGGACAGATTTAAGCGGTCCAAGGCTGAAATAAATAGATCTCTTCTGAAGATACTAAAGTTTTCATCTCTGAAGTTGGTTTAGTAGAAGCTAGAATACTGTTTAGCTTTGTATATTGTAGAATTATACTTATTAATATATAAATTGAAGTATCAGCTGGAATTGTTTGAAGATTCCTTCTTGCTAGAGAAGACACAGCAAGAAGGGACACCCACCCCATTGGAAATGAGAAATGGTATTTAATAGAGAGTAATCCTTTTAACTAACCAACTAAAAATACAGACAGAGAATAAGTTAAGAAGGTAAGCATGATAATTTAAAGATTTATTCCTGCAGCCAAAATTCATCAGTTTTCATGGGCTGAGGACTGTACTGTCCATGAGACATGACAAGACACAGTCTCAGATTAAAGGAAGTTCAAGGCTGGAGAAGGAGGAAGGCAAGTGTGTAGATGATGTGAGGTCTTGCATTAAATCTTGAACTTGGTTTAAGAAGGTCTCAAAATGGACAAGCCTCAACAGGCCTGGAAGAATCAAGTGCAAACACTTTGTGGAGAAAGGCATTTTCATCCCAGGCTTCAAAGAGCCCCTGTGAGTCATTTTCAAGGGCAATGAGCAGCATAAAATCTAAGAAAGTGTTGCCCACAAGGAAACAAGGTCCTGTGAACAGAAACTCATGAAAACACTGACAGCAGCAGCAGTCCCACTCAGACAACAAAGCGGCAAGCCTACTGTATTTTTTGGACTATAAGATACCCCTCCAAGTTTGGGAGGAAATAGGGGTGTGCCTTATAGTCCGAATGTAGCTTACCTGGCTTGCTGTGTGTGTGTGGGGGGGGGCGGTAGTGGAGAAGGGTCACAGATTATTAAATATTTTACTACATTTTTGCTTTAAAAATATTTTTTTCCTATATTGCTCCCCTAAAACCAAGGTGCATCTGATGGTCTGGTGCATCTTATAGTCCTAAAAATATGGTATTTACTATGTGTCAAGAAACAAATGAAAGCTTGGGGAACTCTTTTAGAGATTATTTTTTTAAAGTGACCTTACAGATTGATAAAATAACCAAATAAGATATCCAAATATTGAGTGTGTGATTGAAGTCAGGGAGGGTAAGGTGTTACCTAGGACGAGATTTGACTGCAGTAGGTGCTCCACAGTGTAGTGTATTAAATAACATAGAGATTTTTTTTCTTTTACCAAAAGAAAACAGTAAAAGAAAAGGGCTGCTAGGGACTCTGCTCTCTGAAGTTGTCAGAGCTTTGGATTTCTGCCCCCTTCCTGCTTTGCAACCCTAGCCTGCCATCTCATGACTCAAGAGGGCTGCCTGAGTTCCAGCCATCACAACCAAATTCCCACCAGTAGAAAGAAGGAAGACAGGAAATATATACCATCCTTCTTCTTTTTAGGCTGCTTTTCAGAAGTTGATCCATTATATCTGCTTCCAATCCACTGGCCAGAGCGTAGTTACATGGCTACTTCTGGATGGAAAAGGAATTTATTCTAACCTCTGGACTCCAATGATGTGAGGTCTTGAATTAAATCTTGAACTTGGTTTAAGAAAGTCTCAAAATGGGCAAGCCTCAACAGGCCTGTCTTCCAAACTGTTTTAAATCTGGTAGGGAAGGGAAATTATTACTGAGAAGAAAAAGAAGAAGAGCACACGTATTAGGGGACAACTCTCAGCTTTTGCCATAGGGAGACATCCCTAATTCCATCAGCTTAACACACTGGATTTTATAACATATACATGCAAGTAAGTATGTGGGAGCGATCAGTCAAAAGCACAATGACTAAGTTCCATGAACTTTGTTAACTCGCTTGAACCTTGGAACCACCCTGTGATACAGATGTTGCAAAATCATCCTCATTTTACCAAAGACGCTGCAGTAACACAGGGGCTACAACACACACCAAGTTCCAGGGCCAGAAAGTGCAGACACAGGAGTCAAACCCAGGCAACCTGGCTCCACCATCCTGCTTTTAACCACGAGGCAACACTCTTTCTCAAGATTAAAAACGTTAATTGGATGTGTGTGTGTGTGTGTATTTAAGCCAAGGTTTTTATGTACTGTGAGAAAACATTCAATTAAAAAGCTATTGCCTGTAACATAGGAGAGTGTGATTTTGTAAGCCTGAACTATTAAATGATGGCATTTTGATAAATTCCTTTTAAGACACTGAGATGGATTCGTAATAGAGGGCTTAACCTGGCAGAACGGAACAGCCAATGTCTGTATAATTACACCTCCGTGGGCACCCAGGCAGTCACTTTGGGCAAAGACTGGCTGAAACTGATCAAGAAGCAGCCAGGCCCAGGTTCAAGGCCCCTCATAATCAGAACTAATGAATAACCCATCTCCTTTCTGGGCATCGTGAATTAAAAACTGTGGTTGAGCAATTAAAATTCCAGTCTCCAGTTATAAAAGAGAGGGGAGGAGGGCAGTCAGGAGTAGTCTTCAGATGAATAACCCACAGTCACTTTGCCAGGTTTTCATCTGAACAGGACAGGCAGTGACGAAGGTTTCACAAAAGCATTCGGTAAAGCCCCGGTTTGCAAACACCCCGAGGTACAACAGTGAAATCTTTCTTGGGGCAGCCAGGTGACATCTGGAAGGAGAGCCCAGGCAGGCTACCAATGAGGAAATGCTCGGGCAAATCCAATCAGCGCTCCTACCAGCCTGGTTTCTGAGGGGCCAGCGAGTCCCTCTGATCCATGCCAGGTTTATTCCTAAAAATAACAACAGAAAACAACAAATACTGGGATTTCCAGATTACAGGGAAGAAAGGAAATATTTCATTACTGGACAGGATGTGAACACAAAATGTATATTTCCTACTGTGATTTAGGGAAAAGCTGGAGGCAAAAAAAAAAAACAACAAAAAACCGCTGTGTGTTTGGACCTTTGGTGAAACATTCAAGTTGGGGACAGCTCGGTGACAGTGGGATTTGCTGACAAAATGCAATCTTAGACTTTCCCTTAGTGGCATTTTCTAGGTCATCTTAGAAAGG